GGGGGGGGGGGCTAGATAGAGGGCATCTAGTAACACTTTATTTTGGCCGTGCCTAGGCCAGGGAACCGTAACTAACGACGCAAGACACCGTGAACATATAATATATACAAATATAATAGTGTAGGGCTAGGAAGAAGGCTAGGGATAACCGCGATAACATCCACATACACAGGCTCCGTGGATGAAAATTGATCCAAGCATGTCACACAATGGCCGCCATCGGGTAATGTGGGTACGTACAATCGATGCCCGGTCTAATAGCTAAAAGTTCTTCGTTTTCAGCGCGTACAAAGGTTAGCCGTCATCTACTCACTTGTTACTTCCTCTATATACTCAAGAATGCACTTGTCACGCCAAAAAAGACCCCTTAAAGCTCCGTGTGCCCCTGTCCTCCGGCGGCAACTATTCCGATGCTTACTTCCAACTTTATTTAGTATGCATGGAGTCCGTGTATCACAACTAATCCACGTAGTACTTTTCTGCGGTCATAAGCAGCGCGGGTAACACCAACTGTAAGCGGATAATGTCTCAAGCATGTAAGCTGGTAGCTGGCTGTTAAGATTTGTAATTGTACAGTAATGACTCTAGCTGGACATGTCGTGTGTTCCACGGTATATAGCAGTGAGCAAGACGTGACTCGAGTCGGCAACCGATGGGTGACTTGGGCAGTATCGCATGCTGTCAACGTCTGCTGTGTATCTTACAGAATCATCCAGCATGATGCATCATGGGTTGTCTGTTCAATGTTCTTATGTTTGCCGCCGCGAGACGAGACATGTAATGCGAGGTAGTTCCCTGCTCCAAATCCACTTCAATCATTCTAAGCCTATCCACCGATACTCTGCCTAGTCAGGCAAAGCAACTACACATCAAGCCAAAAGGGGAAAAAAGAACCAAACAAAACACCTACCATCCTGGACAATCCCTGCTCACCTCGAACGCGTTCCAACAGCCGTTCTGGCTATAACATTGGCAGTCCAGTCCTCATTGGCCTCCCCGCCTGTCTTGTATAAACAAGACGGGGGGCTAGAAGCGAATTTCGTTTCAAAACTTTCACGCTCAGCACTCTGTTTTCTACTCCATGGAAAAGGTTAAACGCATGGATGATTCAGGCCTTGCTTCGTTGTATGAAGCTCTCCATGAGGAATAGAGCCCGGCCAACCAAGACCAAAGTCCTCTCTTTACCAACGCCTTCTTTTGTTCTCTGGGGTCAAATAAGCGACTCACCTATTGTTCTGTGGCTTTGACTTGCACACTTGGCAATGTTGTTAGGGTCATTCTGCACGACACTTGTAAAAGTGGACATCTGCAGATTGTAACGAGTATCAGTCGTCAGCAATTTTTTAACGCATCAAGGCTTTACCTGGATTACTCCAAGTGCTTGTCATGTTACGAATTGAGCTACTTTTCGCTGCCTTTTTACATCCTATCATAATCACCTTGACTTGTGATATCTTGAACGGGCTTCGTGTGCCTTTGGCCGAAATCGTAGCGCTGATTGTACTTCACCTCTCTCTCTCTGCTCATCTACACTTCACACTCTCCATGAAGAGCTTCAGGTTGTGCAGTTCCAAGCTCCATTGTGTCATACGCAGCCCCTTTTGCCTGCTAGATACCACTCGCCCCCATCCTCATCTATCGCTGCGGGTGCGTGGGCCGTCTTTTTCGACTGCAGCTTTTGGCCAGCGGACTACCGTATTATCTAAGAATAGAGTAATGATTCCCATGGCCAAAAACGTGTCGAGGATGCGTGTATTGTGTCAAATTGAAGCTGTACTCCATAGTTGCCCCTGCTAACCAACCATGACCAGCGCTTCGGTACTCTGCCGTTTTATATTTTACATCTAGCCATGCATCATCAAATCCGATAGGACGATTCTTTCGTGCTATTCAGAACACTCGTTATGAGTGAATGCCTTCACACGCTGCTGTCAGAGCTCTCTACCCTCTTGCAAAGTCAATATGCTAGGCACCGGGCCCCATCATCAAGAGGACCTCTGACGTAGGCAGGGCCGCCGGATCAAGGAATCCTTCCAACACCTATGGCTGGATATGAGGCTTCCACGCTAGCAAGGCGGCGAAGCGAGTTGAATGCGCAGCCAAGACGTCAAATGGGCTCTACTCCAGCAAACGTCACGACGCAGCACCATGACTTATCTCTATGGCTATTCTCTAAGTGGTGGCTATGCATCGAGGCAAGGCCATGTTTGCGAATCTATTGCTAGTTCTGGTGACGACAGCAAAGAGTATACGAAACATGTACCTGACAGGATTTGTTTTGGCCTTCAACTACGGTCTATGTCAGGATACATTTGTCCATCAACAAGTATACACTCATGTGCGATAATATATACAGTATAGCGCACTCAAGTGTCACATGCCGCAGTATATCATCTTGGTTGCCAGGCCGACGCCACGGAGCGGCTATTAAGCTAAAAGGCTTAACAAAATCACATTGCATAAATGAACGTAGTATATCGAATCTTCCCCAAAGAGCTGACGTTGAAGCAGCCTTCTCACCAGGGTGTTGAAACCCCTTGCCACAGAAGTGTTGAGCTCTTGACGGCAACAACTTGGGCACCATTCCTCCACGCGTTGAGCCTTTCCAAGAGGAGTGTTGAACCGGTCTATACAATGCAAAGCTCGCATCAGGCCAAGTCTCTTGTTGCCTTGTTTTGTTAAATGAAACGCCATCATTCAAGCCCAAAGACGACGATCAATAGTCGTCACCACGACTAACAACCTCCTTTGCCGACTCGCGCAGCAAAATAGTCTGCCAGGATTAGCAACGTAACCTTCTCGCCGCAAAGAGAGACAAGATGCAGAACCACAAGAAAAGAAAAGAAAGTAGGCGCACATACATGCTCAAACTGCGCCGAGTAAGACCCAGGAACATCCATTAAAGGCGCATAATCATCGAGTATTCCATTCGACACGAGACAATTAATCTTGCTCCCGTCAGCAATAGCCACCCTCGTCAACAATCACAAAACATACCCCGGCCAGGTAACGGTCCAGGCCGACATGATTCAGGTACCGACGACAAAACACCAGCGTCCCAAAGTTCGCCTTGATCGTCTTGTACAGTTTATTCGCTGAGCTCCAGGGGAGAGACACGCGCTCCGGAGGACTGTGGCTTAAGCCATAGCCGTAAATACCTGGCTGTTGCACCTTAGCACAGTCTGGCTCATGACACGGCCTCGTGGCCCAAACTTACGCCGTCCCGGATGAAGCCACGCCCCGTACTGCCAAATGTTTCGACGGCAAAGACGTCGCCCTCTTCCATCTTGGTCTGGTTCGAATTTTTGACAAATGGAATTGTCTTCTCGCCATGGATGCGATAGTGTTTAATGTCGTGTCCGCAGAGATTCCGCACGGGCTTCACGGGGTACGTCTTGCCCCGGATGTCCACTTCATAACTTTCCATGGCTTCTTGAATCGCGGCGCTAACGTCGCTGATGCGCACGTCGATTCCGGCATTCTGCCTCGTCAGTTCCATGCCGCCGGCAATCCTGATGGATTCTCCTCTCACCTTGATACCCGTGTTGGTCGCGTCCTTCACCGCGGCCAGGAGATTATCATACGTCGGGTCAAACGACATTGTAAACGCGCTGTCGACAATCCAGCCATTGACGTGGACGCCAAAATCGACCTTCATGACGTCCTGCCGCTGAAGCACCACGTCCTTTTGGCCGGGGTTCGGCGTATAATGTGCCACGCAGTGGTTCAGCGACAGGCCCGTGGGGAACCCAAGGCCTGATTGTAGACCCTGTCCGGCCTCCAGCCCAGCGTTATCCAGGAGGGCTCGAACACTTTCTTCGATTCCAACGGCAATCTCAGTAAGTGTCTGGCCTGGCTTGACAGATTCCTGTACCCATTTCCGAGTCTGGCGGTGAACTTCAGCCGCCTTTCGGTAATTATTCAGGAACGTGGGGTCTTCAAGAGCACGCTGTCCTTGGTAACGCAGCTCGGGCGCCTTGACGGTAGAAGTCGTCTCATAGTCGCACAGCTCGCCGGGTCGATACTCCCCACAAGAAAAGAGCTGGTGAAGCGGGATCCTCGGAGGTGACGACTGCTTGAGAGCGGTCTGGGCCTTCTTCTTTTTGGACCTCTTGCGCTTCTTTTTCTTGCTTGCCTCGCCAGACGTAGGGCACGTCAGCGAAACGGTGGCAGCAGCATGCGATTCATCGTCATCGTCGTCATTGTCGCCTTCGTCCGCGCCCTGGCTACCCATACACCCATCACCATCTCGCAAAAGGTGGCTGCCTCGTGGCTCTCCGCCGGCAGAACAGGATCCGCTGGATGACGGGACCACTACTCGGGGGTCAGCACCGCAAAAGCTCAAACAGTAAGGGAGCGGGCGTGTATACCATATTCCCGACGGTCTTCGTTTTCCAAGGTCTTGGAGCCCATCCTTGCATGGCCGCCGTGGCATCAGCGTCGTCGTCGAAAGTCGAAGCCGTCAAGTGGAGAAGTTGCCGAGAATGATGGTGGTGGTTCGTGACCCCACATTGACCAAATGCAAATTGCAATAATCTATTGTCAGCGCATGCAATTCCACCACCACCCAAACCACGGTTTCGCAAACGAATCAACCGACCAGCGAACATTAGCCAGCGTACAGAGTAGCCACTCCAAACCAAGTTGGCAGTTCCATCTCTTCCCTGCAAGGACAAGAAGAGAGCTAACCACATCACGGCCCATTCCTCCTCCAAACTTCTTAACAGCTAATAAAAATTCACATTTTCTTGTTGTCATAATTTTTAAAGCTGTTTTCAAGATTTATTAATCTTCTTTGGTTTGGTTCATATATATGAACCTCCGCACAATTAACATATTCAGCGCGACACAAGGTGAGACACCAGATACGCAACGCAACCATTGAACGATTCATTCGTTTGATTTCTTTATTTTTCTATATCTGCCTTTGGTATATTCGCAGAAACGGGAGCTTTTTCAAAAAGTGTCATTGGTGAAGAGCCCATCACGCACTCATAGACCAATTCGTTGCAATTAGTTCATCACAATACCAAAGTATTTCCATTAGACCCGCTTACACCTTTCGCTTTAAATCCTTTGATCCCATCATCTTCAGAAATGCTCCTCACCACTCCAGTGGCTCCTTCTTCTCCTCGCCCCTGTTCGTCTTGGGCACAGGCACCGCCTTGGCGGCCAGTTTGCCCCCCTGGCCAGGTCTCTTCAAGTACGCGGTGCCATCCAGCCATGGCGTCTTCTCCGTCATTTTCTTCTCAAACTCGCCAATCTTGTCCTCCATCTGCATAGTGAGGCCAATGTCATCCAGGCCGTTAACCAGGCAGTGTTTGCGGAATTCTTCCACGTCAAAGGCGCAGATTGTGTCGCCGACAGAGTTCTTGATCAGCTGGTTGGGGAGGTCGATTTCTATTTCGCGACCCGCACGGGCTTCGACGGCGATGGCGTCGAGGTCTGGCTTGTTCTCGATTTTTATGGGCAGCATGCCGTTCTTGAAGGTATTGTTGAAAAAGATGTCGGCAAAGGAGGGGGCAATGACACACTTGATGCCAAAGTCGAGGAGGGCCCAGGGGGCGTGCTCTCGGGATGAACCGCAGCCAAAGTTTGGCCCTGTGCAGACGAGGATCTTGGCGTTGCGGTAGGGCTCCTGGTTGAGGACAAAGTCGGGATTGTCCGAGCCATCTGGGCTATAGCGCAAGGCGTGGAAGAGGGCAGTGCCCAGGCCGGTTCGCTTGATGGTCTTCAAAAACTGCTTCGGGATGATGGCGTCGGTGTCGACATTGGCCATGTCCAAGGGCGCGGCAATGCCCTTGTGGCTGAGAAACTTGGGGAGCCCGACGGCTGAGGAGCCGCCGTTGGAGGCAGGGACAGACGTGTTGGTGTGCGGCTCTGAATCTTCAGGCTGGTCGCCAATAACTTCTCGCTCATGAGCATCAGTAGCGACCCTCTCATCTACATGGGCCTTTTGTGAGGTGGATGGGGTAATGCTGGCCTCGACATGTGGGCTGGCTTTGTAGCTGGCGAGCTTGCGCACGTCGGCGAGCTTGCCAACGATGGCCGCAGCTGCAGCCATGACAGGAGACATCAGATGTGTTCGGCCGCCGGCCCCCTGACGACCTTCAAAGTTTCGGTTGGAGGTGCTGGCACATCGTTCCTGCGGAGAGAGGATATCCGGGTTCATGCCCAGGCACATGCTGCAACCAGCCTCGCGCCATTCAAATCCGGCGTCAACAAAAACCTGGTCGATGCCCTCCTCCTCAGCCTGAGTCTTGACGAGACCAGAGCCGGGGACAACCATGGCTCGCTTGATACTAGAAGCAATCTTCTTGCCCTTGACGACGTGTGCGGCGGCGCGCAGATCCTCGATACGAGAGTTGGTGCAAGATCCAATGAACACCTTGTCAACCACAATCTCTTCCATTGGTGTGCCAGCAGTCAAGCCCATATACTCGAGCATTCTACGCCCGGTAGCCTTCTTGGCCTCGGTGGCAAACGTCTCGGGGTCAGGCACAACGCCGGTAATGGGGACAACATCTTCGGGAGAGGTCCCCCAAGTAACAGTGGGGATAATGTCCTTGCCGTCGATAAAAACGTCAATGTCGTATTTGGCACCAGGATCGGATTGCAGTGCCTTCCAGTAAGCCGTGGCCCTGTTCCACTCATCGGAACCGAACTTGGGGGCCAGTGGGCGGCCCTTGAGGTACTCAAAGGTGGTTTCATCGGGAGCAACCATGCCAGCACGAGCACCACCCTCGATGGACATGTTACAAATGGACATGCGAGCCTCCATGCTCAAGCTGCGAATGACTGAGCCACAAAATTCAATGACAGCGCCAGTGCCACCAGCAGTACCAATCTTGCCAATAGCATGGAGAATGATGTCCTTGGAGCTCACACCGGGAGCCAGCTCGCCATCGACCTGGATTCGCATGTTTTTGCTACGCTTGGTAATCAGGCACTGGGTGGCCAGGACGTGCTCAACCTCGCTGGTACCAATGCCAAATGCGAGAGAACCAAAAGCGCCATGGGTAGAGGTGTGGCTGTCTCCGCAGACAACGGTAGTTCCGGGGAGAGTGAAGCCCTGCTCCGGGCCGATGACGTGAACGATGCCCTGGCGCTTGTCGCCGAGACCAAAGTAGGTCAGGCCGAAATCCCTGACGTTTTCTTCAAGGGTGACGCATTGGGTTCTTGAGTCGTCTTCCTCGATGAAGGTGGCAATGTCTTTCATGCCTTTTCTTGATGTGGTGGGGACGTTCTTTGCTCTTGTTAGCACATCATTCGCATATTCACCAACAGAGCAATGTGTGAGTGAGGGCGGCGAAACCTACATGGTCAGTGGTAGCCAGAGTGCAGTCTGGCCGGCGAACTTTTCGACCAGCATTCTTCAGTCCCTCAAAAGCTTGCTGCTACTAGTCAGCACCTTATCCATTATTCCGCATCGTGAGCGCCGCAGCAGAGCAAACATACAGGTGAAGTCACCTCGTGGACCAAGTGTCTGTCTAGATGCAGCAAAAAAAAGTCAGCCGTTGTCACAGAAAATCTTAGCACAATGCAAGACATACCGATGTACAGCAAGATTGTGCCATCGAGCTTCTCATCAACAATGTGGTTCGACAGAACCTTATCGTACAGGGTCTGTGGATTCCTCTCGGGCCCAGGCATTGTGACGGCCGGGTTGCGCGCAACAAAAGAAAATAGGTGGGTAGGGAAGAAGAAAGAGAAGGAGAAATCAAGAGGAGAAAGTCGGACAAAACAGGCGACAAGTTTCCAAGCGAAGCGCCGCTGACGCCAAAGACACCAAAGGTGCGAACTGCGCGTGGATTTGTTTTAATTCGTCGTCTATTGGTCGAAGCCAAACAGTGCCGAGCTTCTGCCAAGGTGTTTTTTTCGAGTGCTGATGATGTCGTGTGCGTTTCAATCACCATCAATGGCAAGTCAAGCAAAGTCAAGTAGATGAGCTCCTCCACCAAACTGAGGAAAAGACATCGCGGCCCACTGGCTGGTTTTAATCTGCAACTGTCGACAAAGTGCAGGAACACGGCAAGGTAGCTGTTTTGCGCAGGACCGGCATCGGGGCCTCCGATGTTCGGAGCCGCCAATTCTTGACGGGTTCGCGACTCCGAACCGGCCAACGAGGCGCCATATCACAGCGCGTGTAGCCCCTCCTCAGCTTCTGGCGTACGGTGCTTTGGGGCTCTGCTTGTCTGCCTGCGGACATGGAGAGCGGCCGTTTACTGGTTACACCCCGCTGAAGCAGCCCCATTCGCGTCCACTGGCCCCGCACTTTCAATGTTGGTAGCATGCAGATTGCTAAATGGTGGTCGCGAATTGGCCCAAAGGCAATTTCAATGGGTACTCGGTAAATGGTACCAGAAAATAATGTCCGCCGTGCCTAGAGTACAGAAACGCGTGTCAAAAGTCCAATACTACTTCTTCTTTCCCCATCACTCGTTTCATAAAAACTAGTTACCTAAGTCTAATAGCTCTGGCAAGTAACACTGTTGTTCAAACCTCTCTACAGAGTGCAGAGCACGCAAATGGCATTCTTGCTCCAGTGCCCCATGGGATGGATGGGCCGCCAACATCGGCGCCGATTTGCCCCTCAGCCTTAAGCCCCCTGCGGCCATCGGCATCAATCGTCACACAGACCGTCACACATGTGCATGAGCTCACCCGATCATGGCTCATTTGCCCGCCCATCAACCATTTCCCCCTACTCAGTACCGAGTACGATGGCCAGAAAACAAACACCATGTCTAATGCCCTTCATGGCATTGGCCATCACGGCCCCTCCAGCCCTTCACACTCGAACATGATGCCTCGCTTGCCCAGACATCTCGACGTGGTCCTCTCACAGCTTGATCTCCGTCCAAAGATCGTCGCTTTTCACACACCTGAACACTCGGCCACCTACTCCTTGACCGCTGTGTCCCTTTCCCCTCTTGTCTGCGCTTTCGGCGGCCCGGCCCCATCAGACGCCACACATCGGCCCACGGCTGGCCCACGATCCCGACACCACTACTCCGTAGTCTACGAAAAATACTGCAAGGCTCAGAGTAGCACAGGCTTGTTGTTCAAATCTTTGGTTATCACCGGCAGTGCTGCATGTCGCTCAGATTGAGAAGAGTAGCCACGTCGGATGCCATGCCCAGTCGCGGCTCTACTATGGGAATCCCCACGCATTCAGCACGTCGTAAATCAAGTCCTTCATGTATCCGGAATTCTCTCCGCATATAGTTACCAGCCTCATCACCTAAATAAGGCCCATGACAACAAGGATTGCTCCGGGCAGCGCAAGAACTAGAGCAAAACAATCGCCCAGAGTTGATTCGCTTCTCCTGTTTCTCGCCCAGTACTCCGATCCGGAATTGAAGACTGGGCCTACAATCTCCCAGTACAGCAGAAAGAATGCGAGTAAGTGGCATCTTACTAGCTCCAAGTACTCCGTAATCGCCATAAGAGAAACAGCGTCAGTTGTTTTGTCACCACTTGAAGAGCTTTGGCAACCGTCGCCGCCAGTGTGTCCGACATTCGGATCCGTGAAGCGTCCTGGTCCTTGACTTGCGTCGCTCAGCCCGCCGGGCTCGTCTTGTCGTGCCATGTGCCGGTTCTGTTCTGACATGACGAGCTTGCATTCGGTTCGTATGTTGGCATCTTTTAGCTCGCCCTCGTTCGATACTTTGGAAATCACTTTGGGCCTCATGTCTACGCCATGGGCCACAGGTTTTCCGAGACCCTTGACTGCCTTTGAAGTGCCAACCAGTTCTTTCGGCCTGGACACGACCACGTCCGATGCTGCCGTGTTGCCGGTCTTCGCAACAGGCCGGGTACTCCTCTCCATGCGCTCGTCCATTTGTATTTGCCTGTTCTTCAACATAGTATCTCTTCCGATACCGTGATTTGCCTGGCCCACGCTCTGCAATTGATTCCGTAAGGGTTTCATTACAGCGGCCCCCAAGTTGCTTTCGGACCTGGCAGCCAGAGGCATGCCGGACGCTATACCACGGCGATGACTCTCCAACAGTAGACTTGAAGGGTTCTCTGTGTCCCGTTGGATAGTCGTTCGGGGGCTCACTTGCAAATCTTGTTGGCCGCAACCAGTAGTGGTGGTGATGGGTGTGCATGCACAGCTTACCGGTACTGGTTGCTTGGTCTCGACTTCTTTCCATGCAATACTCTCGCGGTTGTCTCGGGCCGAGATGTCTATGTGCTCGTTGGGTTCTGTAATTGAAGAGACTCGATGCTGTTCTTCGACTTCTGTCCCCGTCTGCTGGCGCGTCGTGTAGTTGGTACTCACTCGGCGGTTCGTCTCCGGCCTGTGAGCAAAAATCTGCTGGCCCAGCCTGGAAGTTAGATCTGCTGCCCAACTGTCTGGAATCTGTGGGATTGTCTTGAGATCGACGGCGGAATGGCTCGCTGTGTTGTCTTGGCTTGATCGAGAACTTCGGGATCCTCTCCTTCTCGATATCCAATGACCCCAATTTTGCATGAGCTTTGCTCGTGAACCTGTCGCTATCACAGGTTTTTCTTGCGTGGGCTGGATGCCCTCGGACTGACGCTTTCGTAGCACCTGCTCCGCGGTCATCATGGAAGATGATTGGGACTGCTCTCCCTTCTTGTTGTAATTTATCGTAGCTGGCCCTCTTTTGTCTTGCTTGCATTGGCTTGAGAGATTGACAACGTTGTGGGGTAAATGCAGCCTCTTTGACCGTATGCTGGGCTTGGAGTATTTTCTCGTCAGTATTGCCAAAGAGTTTATTATGGCTGTTTCCCCTCTAGGGTCCTCTTGTCTCTGGCGGCGCAAGTCTAAAAAAGAACCGTTATTATTAGGTCCAATATTCGCATTCTTCTGCTTCAGTTCTTCTCTCAGGACAGAATAATGAGTTTCTTGGCTGTTGTTTGACTTGCTACCCGAGGCTGGTTGCTCACTATTCCCAAATTGCCTTATATATGTCCTCTCACTACCTGGCAAGCTAACCTCCGGGTCTTTGGCGGGCACGGGCTCGTCGGAACTGTCGAAACTTATACCATTCACGAAGAGTTCCCAGGCCGAGGAACCTAACCCAGCAGGGTCTGCGAGGCTTTGGCCATGTGCTGTTTTGACGACTGTAGCTGCTGAATCAGGACTCCGCGCTAGCGGCTGGTCGCCGTGCATCGCTGAAGCAGGAAAGGAAGTTTTGCAGGAAAAATCAAGATCAATGAGGTTTGACATCGAGTCGTGATGCTCGAGTTTCGAGTTTTGATGATGTGATTCCCTGCCTAGGTTGGACCATGTTAGTGAGGGCATTCCGGAATGTTCTGTTGCGGCTCACTCACGAGATGTCTCTGCTGTTCCAACAATTGACTGGGCGATAGGACTCAAATCCGGCTCCTGAGCTGAGGACCATTGCCGTGCATGGCGTTTCCACTTGAATGTTTTGTTGATCTCCGTCGCCGCTTCTTTTTCTTTCTCCAACCGGCGGAGCTTTTCCTTTTCATTCTTCCACAGAATTTTCCTAACTTCGTTCTCGTTCCTCTCTTTTGCGCCCTTGTACGAATGCCGGGCATCTCTCAGGGTATTACGAAGAATAAGAAGCTTTTGCTGAGTTTCTTGGCTGAGGCTGCTTCTATCGCTCTCCGTTGAGGTCACAACATCGAGCTGACCAGTCTCTGGGTTAAAACCTTGAACACCCAGGTAATCGCCACTCTCTTTCAGATTACGTCGAAGTCGACGTGTCTCTTTTTTCGCCTCGATGGTCTGAAGTTCAGCTGCAGATGGTGATTGTGACCCTGAACTGTCAACAGCCGCAACATTGGCTTGGTTTTGATTTTTCCTAGAAGGCCCATGTGCTTGTTTCGTATCCGGGATGTCCATTCGGCTTTTCACAGTATCGTCGCCAGGAGCCCAGCTCCATTTTCGATCAGCATCCAGAGCCATATTTTCTTCACAATCACGGCAGGTCTTCCCACCGTCAGATAGGTCTCTCGCCAAGTTCCATTCAGTGATATGATTTGACCCAACCGTTGCGCTCCTTCGACTTTGTCTGTCTGCTGCGAAATACGTCTCGTTCTGATTAGAATGCCTCAACTCCTGCTGCTCCCAGTAGCCTCGACGACGGAGTGTACCCCTACGCTCCGGTCGGTGGCTAGGCAATATGTTCTTGACCCAGGAGCTGATGGAGTATGAGCTATGGGTGTTGACAGATGATTTCTTTCCTGTTGTTGGTTTGGACCGTTTGTCGGATTGTACAGGCGTTGTCGGACTCGGGATGGACGCCTTGGGAGGGAGAAACGGTGACATGTTCCACCTAACTAAAGGGGCGGTATCACGAGAACCAAGCTTTCATTACTGGTTGAACAGTGCCTGGGCAGCTGGCGGTGAATCTCGTCAGGTGCTTCCAGCTGGGGGTGTGAAGCCCGCGCAAAGTCAGACGCAAGTAACAATAAATAATGGAGAACAGCTCGGCAGTCCAAGGAATAAATCAAGTTCTAGAGTGAAGAATGTTTATCTTTGCTACGTGGAGTTAATTGTACCAAGCAAAACGGAAGGCGTTGTCTGTATTTCCAGAAGTAGGCGCATCCGGCGAGTTTACCGGTGTCGCGAAAATCGGGAAAGGAGCAACCGGTCCTTGGCTTGATAATGGAATACCACCGAAGTTCTGGACTATCCAAGTCCATGAAACACTTACAGTCAGGCGCAAGTACCCAGGTCTGGAGCTTTGTGTATTAGAATAGAGCACTTCGTATAAAGACAGCCCCAGCTTCTAACCTAACCTAAATAGTAAAACGCCAGAAAATGCCATAAGGACAACGCAAGACGAATATTCTCCTCAGTAATAATAGCCAACTAGCCGCGCCACCGCTTAGGAAACCTTTCCGACGCCGAATGCTTGCCCATATTGGCAAATGGACGCGGCGAGCTGTTGATATTCGTACCCGTGAAGCGCATATTTTCCGAGTATTTTGTCGGGCTACTTGGGGGCTCCTGACCGCGCTGTTCATATGCAGCTACTTCCCTAGAACTCCTAGGCGAGAAGTTGTCACTGTTCATGTCTGACATACTAATAGCCTTCTTCAAGGGGGATTTTTGGTGTGAGTAAACGCCAAGGCCGCCTCCGAAATTCGTATTCACGCCCGTTGACGTGCCCACCGTGGAGGTTGACGGCGGAGCAGGTGTGTAGGCAGCAGGAGTATTACTACGCGGGGTGTATCCAGCCGGCAAACTATGTCGGATACCCGAAGATCGATGACTGCTTACTGCGGGAGTGAATAGCTCTGTTCGCCGGCTGGCAGTGGCAGGCGTGAACATCTGTGGTTTCATAACATTGCCCGCACTGATACTGGGACTGTTAAACCTCTTTATAGGCGTGGCTTCCTCTGAGTCGACATATGAGTTACCATGAGAGATAAAAGACCGCCTGATGAGCGTCGTCGGCGTTCCAACCTGAACAAACTCTCTCGAAATTACCGGTTGGTCGTCCGACATTTGCGTCCCGACGTCTCTGACAATCGGGTGGATTCGTGGCTGGACAAATTTGGCATCGTATTCATGGAAAACCTCCTTCTGAACGATAGCGCTATCCTTGGCCTGCTGCAAATATCTCGATGATAGCAAAAGCATCTGCGCAGACAAGACCACTTGCATAACCAAGGAATTAAAGACGGTGACACTAGGGCGAGGATCCAAAGGCGCTAGAGGCAAGAATATTAGATAGACGAGTACATGTCCCGGACTAAACAAGCATGCCAGCCTAACGCAAACAGGGAGAGGGTCCCATATGGAGAGCTCCCATACATCTCGGCTCTTGTCTGGATGGGCCCTCGATTCGGCCGAATCTGAAGTAATCATGTCGGCAATAAAGCGCAGCGGCGACGAAGCCACCGGCGAAGACTGCACTTTAACTCGTCGAACAGAAGATGAACTCGGTTTCACGTCGATATTCGCCTCAAATAATCTGTACTTTCTACTTCGCGAAACAGTATAAATGGCGTTGATAATGGAAAACGCAATCAGCCCCCAGGATAGCGGATAGATCTACCAATTCACCACGTTAGTATCAGCTTCAGGAGCTCCAAGCTTCCCATATATGTAAAAGACTCACAAGCATCGACAACCAGCGGGATGAACCGTCGTCGCCAAAAATATCATCACTTGCCTGCTTGGAACCCGAGTTCGCCCGCACGACGAGGAAGAGAAAGTTCAACCCAAGGCCAAGTTGCGTTCCCACCAGACCCGAATCCCAGTCTCTCGTCTCTATCTCCTCGGAAAGCCACAGCAAAAAATCCATGGGGTTCAGCATTGAAGTGATGCGATCCCAAAGGGGACGCCGTCGTACGAGTCGGGGCATGGTTGTAGACCGTCAGGCTGTTCGGCAGGATGATCGAACCTTTTAACGAATCGACGAGAGCGGCAGGAAAGCTTAATGACGACCAAACCCTTGAGCTATGTGGTCGTTTCTCGCCGCACAGAAGAGAAGTCACAGGCGATATGCGCCGCGAAGTCCCCTTGTTGAAGGCTTGAAGAGAGGGAGGGTCGGCAATGTGTGTGTTTACATGGCCCCCGGTAGTAAGAGCTTTTTCTGTCCAGGTTTCCAGCTCGAGTCCAGCGCCCAGCAACAAGCAGGCAGGAGCGTTGGCTCGAGAGCTAGCGCCGCAAAGACGCCCCACTTAACTTTGCAGGCGCCAGCTTCAGCACTTTGCGGGGCAACAGGCAGCTACTAATGCAGCGACTGGGGCAGCAACCGCGGCATTCGAGACCTCCCACCGCCTGCCTGCCTTGGCTTGCGCTGCCACCATAGTGGCGGCTGGGCCAACTCCTAACCTCCATCGCCTCCAGCTATACAACGGGGGACATTGCCGCAGCCAAGTCGCCATCCGAGAGTCAAGATGGCCAACCAAGCGGATTACAAGAACCGAGAATTCCTTGCCGTCATTGGCGACGAGGTAGGTTGAGCCATGGGACAACATTCCCACCGGCAGAGAGACGAGGAACGTATCGTAACGACAGGCCTCGACTGACGCACCTAGGACTCGGTAACGGGCTTGCTACTCGCAGGCATCGGCGTAAGTACATGAGCCGTTGGATCGTAAACACACCGACCTGGGCAGACTAAGCAAATCATTCATAGCATGTCACAGCTGGCGCCGACGCCCAAAAGAACTTCCTGGTTGTAGATAGCAAAACGGACACAGCGGCCATCGAATCGGCCTTTGATCGATTTACCCAAGACCGAAATGACATAGGCATCGTCTTGATCAACCAACACGTCAGTACAACGCGGATACACGCACCTGTCGTGGTTTCAACTTGGATCAACTGACAGAATGTGGTAGATTGCGGACCGGATACGGCACAGAATTGACACTTACACCGCCGCCTTTCCGACTGTTCTGGAGATTCCCAGCAAGGACCACCCATACGATCCTGAGAAGGACAGCGTTTTAAGGCGGGTTCGTCGCCTATTTGGGGAGTAAAGATCAGCATGCATGACATATGAGGTGGTAAAGATACTACGGATAAAATTCAGCCTAATTGCGTTGGTCATGATGGCACGGAACACGTTGCACTTGCGAATAGACAGCTTGCTTGAGATAAGTCGTTTGCTGAAATGCGGGCCTTGTATGCTAAAAAGAAAATGAATAAGAGGTATAGCCGCGTTATTGATTTCTCCTCAACAAAACCACCTCCGGCTTGACTCTCTGATCCAACTCAATTACCGCAGTCCTTGGAAAGTACCAAGATCGAAGAACCCAAAGGGAAAAAAACCCATAGGTATGCTGGCTTGAAACACATCAAATTTATGGCCTTGTACGTCCAACAGATGCTTTCTGAAGTAATAAACATAACAAGCAATGATATGAAAGCAAAAGGAGCAGAAAATCAACACAGGCTGCCGTACGTAGTGTCTCGTAACAAACTATCGTCTAATATGACGCATTTCCCAGCAACTTATTACAACTCGCCGTCAAGGAAATCCATTCCGGGCAAACTGAACTTAACAGTAGCAGTCAAGCAGGTGATTCTCTCCCCATTGGCAGCGAAGACGTCAGCCTCGACATTGTAGGTGCCCTGCGTGCCAAATCAGCTTCACTTGGTCCAAGAGAACTACATACCTGGGTATCACAAGATACTTACGGGAGGAATCTCTTTGGGCAGTTGAACAGTCTTGGTGATGACCCTGTCGCCGGGTTCGACGGGACATTTCAGATCAACTTCACCCATTTGCTCACACAGATCGGCTCTGGTCTTGAGAAGTCTGATAAGCCCATACTTGACAACCAGATCGAAATACGCGCCCTCTTCGATGGTCTTCTTGACGGTTCCGTTTGCCTTTATGACGAGATCCTGGCCACTAGAGTCGAAGAGAACAAACGAGTCAGTATAGCCATTCACCGCAGGATATCCAACCACCATCTCGCCAAGGAGTGAGGGGAAAGCACGTACGCAGCAGGAGGGTTCGGGGCCAAATCCACGCTATTTATCTCAATATATCCTTCACCCTTCCTGTCAGGGCAGTGCTCTAGCGGGGACTCCCCGGGAATCTTCAAGTCGTCATTAGAAGTGATGGCCTGCTGGGAATCACCGTTGAACAAGCTCAGTGCCGCCGAAGGTGCCAGGAGGGCGGACAAGGCAGCAACAGAGAATCTCATTTTCGCTCAGCAGTTGACGGCGATAATAAACACGGCTGGCTGTAGGCTGTGCTGGGTGGGAGGCAGCGAAAGTCTCTTTAAAAGGCGTAGTCTCGGCGTTTCGGTCGTAGAACAGTCGCTGGACGATGTCGCTGCATGAGGCGAGAGATGACGGCAGCGAGTGTTGGGGATGTGCAGTGAGCGGGCTGTTATGGGAAAAAGTGGATTAGGTCACGTTACATAGTGAAATGAGGGGTAACATTACTGGGGACACTTTAGGTAAAAAGAAGGAAGTATAAAAGAGAAATTAACTATTATTAAAGTAAAAGGTTAAACTTAAATAATATTACTTTTCCTATATTTAAATATATTTATTTAAATATATTTAAAGTAGTTATTAATAAGAATAAACCCTAATAAGAACGTAAAGTTTATAAAGAATAATTATAAGATTATTAAAGAAGTAAAGAAGATTCTTAAAGAACTAAATAAAGAAGTTTATAAACGTATAAAGGAAATAAAGTTAAGAAACTTAAAGTTAAAAAAATAATTACTACGAGTAATTATATTAGCAATTATTTACGGGAATTACTTAAACTTAGTAATTATAAATTAAACGCGAATTAATTTCTAACTTATAATATATATATTTAAAATTATAAGTATTTTAAAAGTATTTAATTACTTTATTTAAATTAATTTATTACTTATTTAAGAATCTTATTAGCCTTAAAAAGTAAGTTATAAGAATTAAAAGGTAACTAAATCGCGATATTACGTATAAAGTTACTAGTATTTATATGTGTTACGTTTAAGCTAATAAAGTAAGTAATTTAACTTATATAATATAATACTAGCTTATTTAAGCTTAGCGTAAAATAATAGCTTAAAGTAGCTAATAATAGTAGTAAAAAAGGTAAACTAGGCTTATAACTATTATTAAAAGCTAGCTAGAAAAGGTATATAATAAAAGATAAATAAAAGAGTATATTTAAGCTTATTCTTTTAAGCGATTTAAACGGGAATTCTATCTTTATATATAATTAAAATATTCGAAAATACTAAATATTTAGTTTTTAAATATTTAATTATATTTAGTTAGTCTTATAAGGTTATTTTAATTATATTTGAGCTAGTAATAGCGTGTACGGTATAACCCTTCTATAATATAAGAGATACCCCTTTATAATAAACCTATATTAGGTGCTAGGCTATAATAAGCGTTATATTAAATTTAAAATCACCTATAATTCGAGTTATAAGGTCCCTAACCTACTATAAATATAGGGTTTCTTTCTAGTGCTAGGCTTATTAAAAGCTCGCTATATAGCTTAACTAGTTAATAGCTAGCCTTATTATTTAGATTTTAGTTAAGATATTTAATTAAATAAGAAGTATTATATATAAATTATAAGAGCTACGTTATAAAAACGTAAGATTAATTAAACTTAATTAAATTTTATAATATAAGAAATTTATAAGAAAGATATTAATAATTAAA